GTGTTACCGCAATTTAAGAATTGAGATTTGATGACAGAGTTGGATTTGAGATGTAGGCCGTCATCTACAATAACAACAGTGTATTTGTTTGTGCTCCTCAGCTTACTTCTGCGATATTAATACATCTACAAAAAATCTTTACTTTGAAATAGGCGCCTTTCTCGATATGCTAAACATTTCCTGGGGTGATGGTGCAAATCGGCACAAACTTCCTTGTACAGTGAGTCTTTCGAAGGGTTCAACAGATCTCGAAAAAGACGGCATTTCTGCTCAACCAGATTCGTAATACGCATAGGGTAGGAGGGTGCCCTAGCCCTGCTGTGACATTTTCAAAAGTGGCTTTGGATATGGAGATATCGAGGGGCCGTGTTGCGATGGAGTGGGAAGATTCCGTGTTTTCAACAAGCTCTCTGACATTTGATGAACACTTCAAAAACGATTGGCGAAATTAGATCGAGCATTAGATCGGTGTTCCCCAAGAGCAGGGTGAATATCGCTTGAGGATTCCTCAACGGCACGTCGAGGATTCTCTGCCCGATCAGACACGATCTCTCGCGCGGACATTCACACTCGCCATGCCGTGCCGTCTGTGCTCTCCGCGCGGATGTTCACTCTCGGCACTACTCTCGCATGGTAGAGAGCTATGGTCGAGGATTTCCTCGACCGTTATTCACCCTGCCCAAGAGGCCCGCCGAGCGGCAAAGGACGAGTCGCAGCACGCTGTAGCGGTTAGGCGTCAGGTTAAACAGAGTGTACCATACTACGTCTCATATCGCACAGCACGCGCTGCGACTCGTCCTTTGCCGCATCTGCGTCTCTTCCTTCGCCGCGCGGCGGGCCTCCTTGGGGGACAACCACATTAGAAATATTTTACCGCCCTACCCCTCTCCAAGCGACGGGCAGGTTTGGAGGAAAATGAGCAAAAAATGGTTGACTAGTCTCCGCATCGAATAAATCAAATATGAGACCGTACTTGTAGGTGACCCCCTCACGTGTGGATAGGTTGAACGTAAGAAGGCCCCCTGTGGGTGTCGTAGAATGTTTGGTATTTTTACAACGTTGCGGTTGACCCTGGTCAGCTTTTGCCTTGATGTTCCACTCTTGCCATCCGCACTATTGAATAAGAAACGCAATAAATACAACTCACTTTATTTCTTTTATCACTGAGATAGTCTCTGTGACCCGATCGGGGTATTCCGAACACTTTTCAATGTTCAATCCTTCACTGTTAGTGGTTGTCGTCATCAAATCACAATACGGAACGGAAATAATTATTAGTTATACAGACATAGCCATGACACTATGCATAATGCGCTGTCAAATACAAACACATTAACATCATCATATACGTTACATTACGAACATTACATTGATGGCACCGTTGTGCCTGAAAGAGGCTGCCAAGTAAATGTGTGGAGCGAGCGAAGTCCATCGACATTACAAAATGAATGAGAGACAAAGGCATTAATGGACGGTCGGATCGACGATATGCAGATATGAACGGGACCGGGCTCACGGAACGTCTTCTGCTACAGCAACAAGGGCACTTCGATGTTATGCACGTAAATACCACTGCTTTTAGGCTAACCAGACAATTTGTACATTCTAAAGCATAAGCCTCGTTACTGCTTCATTGCTCCTCCCATTAAACCTTACCCTTCGTTCTGTGTTTATACTCGGCGAACTAAGCCAGCTTACCACAAAAAACAAGGGTATCGAGTGGACGCGACCGTTTCCGCTCTCGACCTTTGCCTTCCCAAGCAGAACACCATTTAGGTAGGCTCACGACGCAGCTAAGACGAGCAGCTTGCATGTTGCAGAGCCCGAAAAATATGAAGAAGGCGAAAGCCCCGTGAACAAGCTTGCTTCAATTGTACCTACGACCCAATCAAATGAGTATGCGAACCACACGCCCTATCTCCTGATGCGTCAACCTTGAGTGCTTGATTTTGGAGTGTGGTGGGCAAAAGAGCGCGCAATAAATTACCTTAGAAATAGCCCCAATACCAAAACATCAACTAGTTGAAGTAGTTCCAGCAGAACTTAGCGTTGAAACTTCTCAAACATGCATTCATGCTATCAATTACCATAAACTGAAGCTTGAGCGGCCGGTAGGAGAAAGAGCCCTGCTACCTTTTCTAGACCTAGCTGGCTTCATTTCACTAGGCCCTACTACCGTCTTTGGCCCTGGCTGAAGCAGAAAACGATCACCCAGTATTATTAGAAGTCATTCAAGGTCAGTGCTCGGAATTGAAAATCCTTGTCAAAACTATTGCTCAACTGCGCTGAGACAGCGATTGTCCATTTCTATGGCTAGGTTTAACTTAGCAGAGTGATATTTGACGCAGCAACGAAACATGCAATTAGCTTAAAACTGAGATTTTCACTGAGCACTGCCTTGAAATCAAATTTGACAGCGCCACGCAAATTAAAGCTCGTATGTAACACGCACAGGCATCGAAGCTGTAGAGACTTACACTGACAGTAAGTCATCATTTGATATACACTCATTTCTAATAAATTAGCCGTTAGTATGTGTAGGATGTACAGAAAAAAACCACATTTCGAGATGCGCACGCATCATATGGCTATTGATTAGTAATGCTACGCGCAGCGAAGCGGATCGACTGCAATCGCGCGTCTCAACACGCGATTGTTGCTGTACTCCATCCACAGTATATCAAAGAATTCGTCAACATGCTAAGATGCAAGAACATTTCGCTATTGTGTCGTGCTTAAGGGAATAAGACTTCAAGACTTTAAACACTTTTACCTAAAACAATATATAAGAAAGTTTCATGAAGCAACGGTCTGATGGTGGGGGAGAGGCCCATTTGAAGGAAGAAATAAGTGAAACAAAAACGTAGAAAAAGACAGCGGAAGACGTCGCGCGCATCGTGGCGAAGGCGCCGAGGACAAAGCGTCATCGGAGTCAGAACAACTCTTTTGAACGGCAACACGATGAGATGATCTTCAAACGAAATGAGCGAAGAAGTGTCAAGGCACCACCGCCGCGCTACTACCGCGCCAGTACGGCATTCAGAATTGGTCGGTGTGCTACTTTGACAACTTCGGCGCCGACATTCAACGGCAACCAAATTCGCCGTCGTCCATGTTCGCCCTGAAATTTGAATTTCATGTTTAAACAGAAGGCCAACTACTGAAAACCAAGCCACAAAGCGCCAACACTTGTGAATTTCAGTGCAATCAATCAGGTACCGGCAAAAAAGTTCAAACGGTCAGTCCAGCCATTCAAAACAAGATGTAAGCCTATGTAGGTACCTCGAGGCGCTGCGTTCAAACTTGCTTTCATTATCTACGGAAAGATTCCCTGAATGAAGTTATTAGACAGAGAAGCGTAGCCATAGTGACCCTAACTCAAATGCAAGAGATCGTTGGATCGACTTCAATGCGCACACACTTTTGCTCATTTCAGAAGTATGATAGGTCTCTTCAGCTATGTTTCCGGAAAGAACATGGTATGGACCCGCACCAGAGTCGATCCCACGACCTCTTGCTTTTGAGTCTGGATCACTATCGTTGCGCTTTCCTGCTTCATAACTTCTTTGAAGGAATCGCTATGCAGATAATAAAAGCAGATTTGAACTCAGCGTCTCGAGGCAAGTATACAGGCATAAATACATCTCATTTCAAAAAGCCGGACCTGCCAATTGAACTTTCCTTGTGAGCTTGCACTCTGGTGCAGAGGCAGTGGACGTGTACACAGTTTACACAACGAAAGACGAGTTGTGGGCATCAGGTAATGCCTCAGGAGTGCTTTCTCTCCCCTAAAACTCTGCTACCGAAGTATGAATCCTCTAATAGCCCGAACACAATTATAATCTCGGGACAGTGTTAACGCGAGCCAATCCTTTCGCTCTTCCATTTCCGTTCTTATCTAACAAAAAGTCATTGTCAAGCGTTTATGTGAAGAAATATTGGTATAACTATGAGTAGTTCAATTCTTTGCGGATTGCATAGGTATTCCGTCCTACCCTTCCCAGAAACACGTAACAGCAAAATTGACGTTTTTGGGATAGGTTTGTACGAAGAGAACTAAATCTCCTATACTCCAACAAAACTTTTCCACACCTTTGAAACTCGGTCCTTATGTGGACACTCTGTCCCGAAAATGTTCGGCAAATTGTGGTGGTACATAGTGCCTAACTGGTGGTCAGACTTAAATAAGTAGTTCTCAGAGAATGGAGCAAAACATCAGATAATTCAATCCACTGACAACCGCTTTGTGCGTCTACCTGGGAAATTTTTCCGATAATTTCATTACTGACGATGATTTACTGATTTTCTTGTACGATAATGTATTTGGGCA